CCTGCTGAGAAGAATGGAGAATGAGCTTCCTCCGGGCCCAAAGATGGTCATGCCCCATCTGTGAAATGGAGCCCATTTTATCTGCTTCGTGTCCTTCAGGAAAGCCAGCTTTGTGAGGATGTAATGCAATGACAAAACATGGTAATAATTTTTAAATTAAGATAGTGGGCCAACAAGTTTTCTTATTATGATGCAGAAGAATGAAACTTGTCTTCTGCTGGGAACTGAGGGTGATAACTATGTAATTAGACTTGATGTCGGATCAGGAGAGGCCTGCTCTGGGTTTCATCAGGCAGCGAGTCGGCTCCTGCAGTGCACGGTGCTACGTATCGTGATGGACACAAAACTGAGTCAGCCATAATCTGTCCCTCCAAGGAACGCACGCTCTGTTATCAGGAAAAAACAACTCTGACGGTACAAGGGCAAGGGGAAAAGAAAACAGGGAACCCTCCTAGGATGGGTCAGGGAGGAAAAAGACTGAGCATCAGAGATGTGCCCAGGACCTGTAGCACAACTCGAGGTCACCCACAAGTGCTGGGTCCCAAACGGGGTCCAGAAGTGAGACCCTGGGGCCGGGGCAGCCCCCACCTGTGAGGGTCTGGAAGGAGGGGGGCAAAGTAGCCAATGCTTCCCGCGGTGTGTGCCTTGCCACACCGTGGAGCTCAGTCTGCTAGTGTCCACACAGTACCACCATGTGGTGTCCTGAACCCACCTGTCTGTGATGATCCAGGGGACTCCAGGACATGGGAGACCCCGAGGGAAAGGACAAGACAAAAGGCAGGAGGAGGGCAACCCGTCAGGCTCTGTTTGATCTGGCAGACAGTGGGCAAGCACAGGAGAAGGCTGGGGCTGGCCGGCGGTTGCCTTCCAAGTGGCACTCTCCTCCCCGAGCCGTGGCCAGCCACTCTGTTCAGACTTGCAGACTTCAAACGTGACTGGGGGATTCCTGGAAGACAAAAGAATTCTGGGCCGCAGGTTGGATCTCTGTCAAAAATAACTCATGTCTTCATCTCAGGCAGGCGAGCAGCGGCCACGCGAGCTGCTGTGCTGGTGTCTCCAGTGATGGGGGCTACAGGTGCAGAGAGGGGCCGGCAGGAGCCGGAGGAGGGAAGGGTAGCTTTGGCTGGAGAGGAAGGGATAGGCCTGGTGGCTTCAGAATGGAAGATCTGCTGCTCTGGAGAAGCAGGTGCCCCATCTTTCCCTGCCTCTGGGCACTGCCGTTTGCTTTGAGCTGTAATTACAGCTCTTAGTGTTTCTTCCTGGGACTTCTCATTAGTTCAAGGTGTCCACAAACAAAGTGCTTGGCTTCCTCACCCCTGCCCTGCCTCCTCCAACTGTGCCTCCTGGCCTTCAGTGCAGAATATTGATTAACCACCCCCGCCCTCTCCCCCCAACACCATGCTGGGGTGCACTGGAGGGGCTCAGCCTCATCTCCCTCTCTCTGTAGCCCACAGCGCTGTAATCAGAAGGGTCCATGATTTTCTCCCAAGAGGCCAGGCCCCAAGTCTTAGCCTTACTGTGTCCTCTGCACCTCGGCCAGGGTCTGGCAATCACAGGCTTTCACGCCGCGTTCACCCAACAGCCCTGATGAGCAGCTGCCAACTTAATCTTCCTAAAACCGTGCTCCAGTTAGAAGCTATCACTGCTTTCCTATCGCCCACTGGACAAGGTCCACCTTCCCCCAACTGGTCCCCTGAGGACCTCAGGACCTGGTCTTCCTGGGCCATCCTTGCTGGGGGTCAGCCACTTGGTGGTTCTCACCCGCCCAGCAGCATCCCTGCCTCTGTGCCTTAGCTGTAGCGGTTCCCTACCCCCACCTGCCTTCTCACACTCTGCCCTCGGCACCCCTGCTCTCCAGGCTCCCCTGCGCTGGGTGCTCTTGTCTCTGAGTACTCAGTTTTGTCCCTTAGGGTCCACCCAGACCCTTACCTGGTTCTGTTTCTACTAGTGTGTCACACTTGAGCTGCTCACTACACCAAGAACAGGCTAGGAATGCCACTCATCAGACCCCAGGGGTTCCCTGAAGGCAGGGCCCATGACAGACAGACAGACATTCAGGGCAGGGGAGCAAACAGTATGCCCCTCCCTCCCCTGAGCCAACCTGGCACAGAAGGTGCCAGTCCCTCACTGTGTCAGATGGCATGGAGCAAGGGCTGTCAGCCAATGGAGGCCCTGCCACCCCTGGGGCTCCAGGCTCCAGTGTCCCGCTGCCTGCTGGCCAGTGGGCCATACCTCACTGCAGGCTTCCCTGGGCCAAGAAATGGCATGGGCACCGAGGACCCCACGGGACAGGGTGGTGGCAGGTCTGCAGAGGATGTCAGTGTCCGCCCCTCCCCTCCATGGCCCTTCTCCAAGCAGCCGCCAGTGAGAGGGACACAGAGGTAGGGGAGAGAGGAGGAACAAGACACCCTTAGGGCATGTCTCAGACCCGTCATCTCCCCTTTCCTTCAGCTGGGGCCCTCCTGCCCTTTCCCCAGTTGGCACCACAGGCCAACCTCCTTCCTGTCTAGCCTCTAACCACAGCCCAGGGAAAATTCCAGATACTGCCCTGTTGATCACAGTCCTTTCCCGGCGCCCCTTAGGATCCAGTCCCAGCTCCGCTCCATGCCTGCTCCAGGCCAGACTCCTTACTGCCTACCTCATTCCAGCTTCCAGCCAGGTCAGACTGCTGACAGTCTGCCTCCCATGCCAGGCTGCCCAGCCCTGGTCCACACTGTTCCCTCTGTTTAGAACACGTTGTGGGACCAGCCTTTTGGCTTGGTAGATTAAGCTGCTGATTGCAATGCCAGCATCCCGTATGGGTGCCGGTTTGAGTCCCAGCTGCTCCTCTTCCTATCCAGCTCCCTGGCTAACGTGCCTGGAAAGGCAGCAGAGTATGACCCAAGTGCTTGGGCCTCTGAATCCATGTGGGAGACGTGGATGAAGTTTGCAACCTCTTGTCTCAGCCTGGCCCAGTCCTGGAAGTTGCAGCCATTCAGGGGTAAAACAGTGGCTGCCTCTTCTCTCTGTAATGGCATTTAACCTAAATAAATAAACTTTAAAAAAAACACCTCATATCTTTAAAACATTTTTTTTATTTTGATTGGAAAAATCAGATATACAGAGAGGAGGAAAGACAGAGAGGAAGATCTTCCGTCCAATGATTCACTCCCCAAGTAACCTCAATGGCTAAAGCTGAGCCAATCCGAAGCCAGGAGCCAGGAGCTTCATCGGGTCTCCCATGCAGGTACAGGGTCCCAAGGCTTTGGGCTGCCCTGGACTGCTTTCCCAGGTCACAAACAGGGAGCTGCAGGGAGCTAGCATGGAAGTGGGGGTGCTGGGATTAGAACCTGACGCATGCAAAGTGAGGACTTTAGTCACCAGGTCATGCAACTGGCTCTAAATAAATAAATCTTAAAAAAAAAAAAAAAAAAAAAGAAGAGGCATTTGTCCTGTACCTTTCCCATGATGCTTAGTTCTGGAGCATTTTCTTCTGGAGGTGCTCCTGGACCCACCAGAACCCCCTCCATCCTCTGGAATCCAGGATTTATCCTTGTGTTGACTAGTGTGCCGCCCTCTGCCCCCTTAGACTGCTCCTGGAGGGCAGGTTTGGGGTTCCATACATCCTGTATCCCAGGGCACTGGGCCAGAGCCCCACGGGGCACCAGAGCTGGACAAGTGGATCATGACTGCCCCGGGGGATGGAGAAGGGGTGGCGGGCTGCCGGAAGAAAAGCCAGTTCCTCTTGTGTTTTCAAAATCACACCTTCATGCACAGTTTTATTTACAAGAAAATCCTGGCAGGATCTTGACTTGTTACTGGAGTAGGGATGGGGGAGTGGAGGTGGTGAAAAACAAAAATAGTTGAAACGATCACACTTTGTGAATTTGAGATGAAAATCGGAGTCTGCAACAGACTCACCTAATTAGAGTAGCGTTAATATCCTGCCCTGTGTTGGGGGAGGGGGGAATAGGGGGAAGCAGCCGCCGCCGCTGCTGCATTTGTTCCAGAACAGAACATTAATTGCAACTTTCACTAGGGGCAGAGAGCCTGCAAGGGAGAGAGGCAAAGGCGAGCGTGTGGGTGGCTGTGGGGCAAGGCGGGCAGCCGGCGCGGTAGGACGCAGCCTCGGCGTGGGCTGAGCCCCGAGGGACGCCGGAGCCTGTCCCCGGAGCTGGTAGCCCCTGCAGGGAAGAAAGCCCTAACTTAATCCCTGCGGGCGTTAGTTCTCTCTCCGCCTCTCCCAGCTGGGACTCTCCCCTGGGTTTACCGCGGTCCACGCGGCCAGAAATGGCCCAGGCAGCCCAAAGCTCGGAGGCTGGCGGGGGTTCAGCATAGGGCTGGGGGACCAGGAGCCCCCCGCGGCCGTCTCCCACACCTAGGCCTCCGGTGGCGGCATCCCGAGCCCACAGCATCCCGCTCCAACTCACTCCCCAGTTAACCCCGACTTTGCCAACTCGGTGAGAAGCTCACACCTGCCGTCTCCCAGGGAGGGAGACAAACCCAGGGCCGAGCGGGGCAGAGCCATCCCCGACCCCGCAGCCCCCAGGATCCCCGCAGCTCCCGCCGAGTCGGCCCCGGCGGGGGCGTGCGGGGCGGGGGGCCCGCGGCCCCGGCGAGCAGCTCCGCCCCCGGCCGCGCGCCGCCCCGAGGAGTCCGCGGGGAGGAGGAGACTCGGGCGCAGAGCGGGGGCCGCGGGAAGCGGGAAGGGAGCGGCGGGGCCGCGGCCGGCCCAAGGGCGCCCTCGCCTCGGAGCCGGGCGCGGGGGCTGGGGCGGACGAGGCGGAGGCCGGCGGCGCGGCGAGTGCCGAGAAGTTTGGCTGCGCAGGGGCCGGGCGTCCCGGGGCTGCGAGCGGGCGGCTGCGGCGGTGGCGGCGCGGGGGGCCCGAGGCCATGGGGGGCAGGCGCCAGCGGCCCGGCGGGCGCGGAGGTGGCGCGCGGTGCCCCGAGCCCCGCTAGCGGCGCAAAGTTAGCCCCGGCGCCCCGGGACGAGCGCTGCGGCTGCCGGAGCCTCCCCGGCCATGGGCGAGCACCCCAGCCCAGGCCCCGCAGTGGCCGCCTGCGCCGAGGCAGAGCGCATCGAGGAGCTGGAACCAGGGTCGCAGGAGCGGCCGCGCGCGGCGCCGGAAGATGTGAGTGCCCCTCCCCCGCCCGGGCAAACTTTCTTGTGGGGGGGAGAAGAGGGGGTCGCAGGTGGGCAGAGTCTCGCCCTCCTTGGGGGGCGGCTTGGAAGCTTCAAGGTGACGCGGGAGCGCCTGGGACTGGCCGGGTCTGCGCGGGCGGGAGGGACCGGGATCCCCGGAGCTGTCGCGTCACCCCTGCTCGGGCGCCGGCGGCTTCCCTGCGGGACACGGGCGCGCCGCTGCGCCGGGGAGCGCTGTCCCTGTGGCTGGTGCAGTGCCCGGGACACAGCGTTCTCCCGCAGAGGAGGCCGCGGTACAGCCGTGACTCCCTCCCCTCCGCGACTTGCAGGCTTCTCCAAGCCGTGGGCGCCGCAGAGTCCCCCGGCCCCGGGCCCGCAGACTGGGCTGCTCAAGCCCGCGCCGGCCTGGTCGCGACACTGGCTGCAGTACAGAGTGGCCTCTGTCGCCGACCCGGGCCCGGAGCCCTGAGAGGAGGGCGGAAAGCAGGGTTTGCCCCTCCACCCGCATCCCCTGTCCACAAGGGGCCCGGAGTCCTACGGCTGTCTCCGAGAGCTTCCCTGCAACCTGCCGCTGGGGTCTCCATCCCACCTGCCGTCCTGAGCGCCCACAGACCGGAGTTGAGCTGTACATCACTGTACAAGGCTGGCCAATCTCTCTGCCCTTCCCGTGTATGCCCGGGCAGGGGTCGCACAGCCAGACCCTATGTCAGGGGAAGGGAGTACAGGTTCGCATTCGGATTTGGATTTTCTCTCTTTGGGCCATGTAGTTCAACCTGTCACTCCATCTGGCTCTAAGCCCCCTGGTAGAATCACCTGTTCTCACTACTTGTCTCAGACTTGAAAGAGTGGGTGGGTTTCATCCACCCCCCCCCCCCACACACACACACACTCTCACACAGAACGACGGGGTAGGCAAATGTCAAGCTCTGGAGTTCTCCCGAGATGAGGTCTCCAGCGCCCCTTGCCCAGCAGCAGCTGTGGATCTTAGCGGCAGTTGCTCTGGGCGCTCAGTGGGAGGTTCTGCTGGAGGCTGCACCTGCCTGTCCCAGGACCCCTGCCAGCGCCCCCCTCCCTGCAGTCAGCTCCACCCCCTTCCCTGACAGTGGTCCCAATCGCCCAGCCCCTCCCAGGGTCTCCCGGGGCTCCCCGGCCAGTGGCGGCGGCTCTTGCTGATCACCCTCGGGGGGAGGGGAGCAGCAGCTGGAAGGCTGAGTTGGAAACCTGGGGTGGGTATGGGGGGCGCGGAGCCCTTGGTGATGTGTGTTCCTTTCTCTTCCTCTCCTGCATGGCTCCTTCTGTACCAGCACTGGAAAGTCCTGTTTGATCAGGTATGTGAGCGACTCACCGCCCCCCTCCTCTGCCGGTCTGAAGTCACTCTTTCCTCTGCTTGCGTGGGCTTCCCTAGCTCTGCGGCGCTCCAGGGCTGACGTGGGCTGGGGGTGTGGCCTAGCGCAGCTCTGACAGCCCCGCTGCTCCCGGCCAGGTATCCGGTGCAGGCTAGGGGCTCCCCCGAGAGGATCCCTCTTTCCTTCCCGCCCCCAACTCCTCTGCACCAGAGCTGGAGGAAGTGGATGGTTCTGAATGCCAGGGGGACTGCAGCAGGAAGCTGGGGAGGTGGGGGCTGGGCACGGGACAGCATCCCTCTCCCGCCCCACCTCCTTCACAGCAGGTGCCTGGCCACTGCTGGAGTCAAATCTTGCCATCCTGGGGGGTGACCACAGTGGGGGTTCTCCTGAAGGCTCATAGGGTTTGTTTGAATTCTGTCACAGGGTGGAGAGGGGAGTGCTGGCAGGTTGCACTTGGGAAACAGTGCGTGAGAGTTGAAGGCTGGGGAGAGAGTCGGAAGCTGTGGCGTCTGGAGGTGATGGCCGTCTGACCTTCAGCAAGGAGAGCCTTCTCTCGGCATTTTCTTTTCTTCTGCTGGTGTTTTCCCCTTCTTCTCTGTCCCCTGGCAGAGACGGGGCAGTGGCAGGCCATGTCCTGGGGATGGGGATGGCATATATAGCCAAATGATGGTGTAATGAAGTTAGTGAGGCTTTAGGGGGACTGGTGCAGCGGGGCCAGAGGCAATGAGTTGGAAAAGGTGCTTGACCCTGACCTTGGCTGTAGGTAGAGGAACGTTCTGAGGCACGCCAGAGAACCCTTATGGGATAGGGAGAGAGGTGGATTGTCAAAAAAAGGAGCCCTGCGCTGGCCCTAGCACCTTGCCATTTCCAGGTGATGCTGAGGAATGAAGGCAGAGGGCTGTGGTGGCAGGAGGATGGGAAGATCTGAGTAGGGCTGAACAGACTGGGGGAGGAGGGGCCTCGCATGGCACAGGCCACAAGGGCACAGCGGGCAAAACGACATTAGTTTTGTGCTAACTTGGAGGTGAGGAGCATGCAGGCCCTTGAGTTGGGCTGAAGACGTGGACCTGGAACATGAACCATGGGGTGGGCTTTCAGGAGGGCGAAGGTTTTCCTGGCGGACCACGGGGCCCAGCAGGGGTTGAGGGGCATCACAGGTTGTCATCCAGGAGGGATGGGGCCCCTCGCTCTGCACCCTTGAGTGCCACCCCCGCTCGCTCCAAGCTGGTGGCAGCTGCCACCCTGCCAGTCGGAGGGAGTCGTGCCGCTGTGCCTCCTGCCGCATTTAGCACCGGCACCTAGAACACAGTGTGTCGTTCTCTCCCTGAGTGTCTCTCACTTGGCGATGAAGTTTCCTTGCCAATTTCTGTCTGTGTGTTTACATTCTAAAACAAGCTGTGTGAGTGGCTGGAGGAGAACTGGTACTAGGATGGGGAGGAAGCCGAGAAGGTGTGCGGTGCCCGGGGTCGGCTGCCAGGCTGGAAGATGCCACTCCTGCAGCACCCCGAAACCCTCTGGAGGGATAAGAAGAACCCAACAAGACTTACCCCTAGTCAGTGTTTCTCCAGGTTCCCCTTTTGTGCCATCTTGCTTCCTATCCTTGTGTGGCGGGAGGCCACCCCTGGGCCTGGCTGTCGCCCTGGGGTGGAGGCCTGGGTCCTCTGGCTCCCTCCCTTGCTTGCTGACGCCTCCCCCGGTGTTCCTCCTGTGGAGGGAAGGAGGAGGTTGCAGCTTCCCTAGTACGGGCACAACCTCAGAAGAATGCTGGGTTATTCAGAAGGCAGAGCAGTTTCATCCCTTCTGCCTCTTCCTCTAGGCCTGCCTCACAGATTTTGTTTTTAAATGTTTATTTGTATTGGAAAAGCAGATTTACAGAGAGAAGGTGAGGCACACAGAGAAATATCTTCCGTCTCCTGGCTCACGCTACAAATGGCCACAACAGCTGGAGCTGAGCTGATCCAAAGCAAAGAGTCTGTTCTGTGTCTCCCACATGCGTGCAGAGGCCAAGGACTTAGGCCGTCTGCTGCTTTCCCAGGCACATCAGCAGGGAAGTGGATTAGCAGTAGAGCAGTGTCTGGTGTGACTGCATAACAGCTAAAGTCCTCACCTTGAACCCTCTGGGATCCCATATGGGTACCAGTTCGTGTCTCGGCATCTAGCTCTCTACTTGTGGCCTGGGAAAGCAGTCAAGTACAGTCCAAATTCTTGGGACTCTGCACCCGCATGGGAGACCTAGAAGAAGCTCCAGGCTCCTGGCTTCAGATTGGCTCAGCTCTAGCCATTGCACCTGCTTGGGGAGTGAACCATCAGATGGAAGATCTTCCTCTGTGTTTCTCCTCCTTTCTGTATATCTGCTTTTCCAATGAAAATAAATAAATCTTAAAAAAAAAAAAAAAGTTGAGTGGCCAAGACTGAAACTAGTCCTTATAGGAGGCTGGTGCTGCGTGCAGGTGATTAGGCTCTTGAGCCACTGCATCAGGCACCTGACAGTGAGATGTAATGAGTGTGGTTCACCTGGGGAAGAAAACCTGGCCAGGCGCTGCAAGCAGCTTCCCGCCTGTCTTGAGCCCAGCTGTGGTGTGGGACAGGACACCTGCCAGAGTCCCCCTGTGGGAGGTCAGTGACGCCACCCAAGGATGTTCCCTGCCCTCCCTGGGTCAGGACACAAGTGGGCCTCATAGTTTCAGCCACAACAGAAAGGAGGAAGGGAGCTCAGTTCTGTGAACATTTGCCCTGTGCCCCTGGCATTCTGGCATCTGTGCGGTCAGCTCAGGCAAGGCCATGGCCCTGCCGTGGAGGGCTTCCTGGGTTGAAAACGCCAGCTCCATGCTCCAGCTTGCAGATGTCTCCAGGTTCTTGGAGTGTGTTGACTGAGCTGAAGGGCTGGGTGCATAGTTCTGTCATGGCAACAAAGCACAGCTGCTTTCCGGCTGTGAGAGCAAGAGGGCAGGTCGGTGTGGCAGCGCAGCAGGTGGAGTCACTGTTTGCAGTGTTTGTATCTCGTATCAAGTGCCAGTTTGAACCCTGGCTCATCCACTTCCTGCCCTAGTACCCAGGAGGCAACAGTTGATGGCTCTGGGACTTGGGTTCCTCTATGCATGTGGGAGACCCTGGTGGGGTTCCTGGCTCCTGGCTCCTTATCTGTTACAGGCACCTGGGACAGGAGCCAGTAGCTGGGTGCTCTGTGTCTGTCGCTCCCTGTCTCGTCCCCTTTCCCATTCAAATAACTGAACAGACACAGAAGTCTTTTTATTCATTTATTTTTGGGAGGGGCAAGAAGTGGGAATAGCTTGTGCCTGCCTTCTCCTCCTATCGAGAGTGAGCAATTTCCCAGATGCTAATGAGACATACACTTTGATGATCTCCTAAAGTGAAGGCAGACAGGTGGGAGTAGCCCTCCATAGTTAAACATGTGTGCTATGCAAAGAACATGGGGCTCCCAGGGCAGCCACAAGGAACAGAATGCAGAATTTGGAGTCACACAGATGTGGACATATGTTGCTGTGACTGTGGACAATCACAAATGGCTCCCCAAGATTCAGGTTTTTGCTCTGTGGTGAAGCCAGACTCCAGGGTAACTGTGAGAATTCCATAGGAGCAGATGGCTTTTGCTGTCCCTGATTCCTGGTGGTCACTGGACAGAGGCCTCCTACTTGGAAATCAGAGTTTTCTTGGCAGAAGCACAAAGGCCACCCCTGAGCTGCAGGCCCGCTGGGGAAGGTGGCTTCTGGAGAGGGCCCCTTGCAAGGTTTTCCTGCCTGCCTTCCTGCGGGACCTTCCCTGCCTGGTCCTTTTGCCCCAGCTACTGGTCTCTCCTTGGTCTGAGCCTCACTGGTGGCCACCCGCCTCACTGGTGGCCCTCCTGCACAATGGCCTGGGATTCCTGGCAGGTGTGGGATGGGAGCCCAGTTTATCCACAAAAGAGGTCCCAATGGAACTGCCGAATGCATTAGGGAAGAGCCATGGAAAAGACACTTGCCTCAGAGACCTTGGTTGTAGCCCCTCCTTTCCCTGAACATGTGGGTAAACAGCAGAGCAAGGTTCCCATGGAGGGACAAAGCCACGGGCTTTGCTGGAGCCCCCAACTCCCTGTCTGGGGAGACTGTAGACTCCCTTCCCCCACTGGCCATGCTGTAGTGCTGACCACTCACTCCATGCACCTGAGAGCACATGGGTGGAGCAGGCCAGGGTCTGCCTAGCTGGCTGCTAGTCACATATGTTGGAGTGAGTGACAGCTCAAACTTTGGCTCTAGACTCGGCATCCTGACTTTAAACACCGTTTCCCATAGGCCTGGCCTACCACGTGCAGGTTGGCCTCTTGGCCACTGCTACCTCCAGAATCACAGCTTCTTGGAAGATCCACGGCAGCATTGCATCCCCTCTGGTGACCTTCTGTGGTCCCTCAGGGTCGTGGGTCTCCCACCGAGCCCTGCAGACACCCCCCACTGCCTTGTGTGCTGCCCTAGGTGATAGCTAGGGGAGTGGAGTCCTTTTGCTGGGGACCCATCTGCATTAATTTCTTTTTTATAGAGAGAGGAAAGGCAGATTCTATTCCTTAGAGAAGGAGAGACAGGTCTTCCATCTGCTGGCTCACTCCCCAACTGGCCACAACAGCTGGAGCTCAGCTGAGCAGAGAGCAGGAACCTCCTCTGGGTCCCAAGGCTTTGGGCTGTCCTCTACTGCCTTCCCAGGGCACAAGTAGGGAGCTATGTTGGAAGTGGAGAAGCCGGGACATGAACTGGCATCCACATGGGATTCCTGGTGCTTGCAAGGCAAGGATTTAGACACTGAGCCATTGTCCCGGGCATTTATTTGTTTGTTTGAAAGCGGGAGGGAGAGAGATCTTTTATTCCTGGATTCACTCCCCAAATGGCCACATGGCCTAGACTGGGCAAGGCTGAAGCCAGAAGCCTGGAATTTCATCCAGGTCTCGCACGGGGGTGCAGAAACCCAAGCACTTGGGCCAACCTCTGCTGTTTTCC